TTCGACAGCCTGCTCTCCTTCTCTGCGCACTCAACCGCTATTGTCAATAAAGTACAGAGCCGCAACAAGGTCCTCTAGTTGCTAGCCGGCAGTACTTGGGGCAAAGACAAAGAAACGCTGCTGGCAACATACAAGGCAATAGGCCGGCCGGTTTTGAACTTCGCAGCGCCAGTGTGGTCGCCAGGGACTAGTAGGACGCAATGGACGAAGCTACAGACTGTACAGAACACCGCACTCAGGACAGCGACAGGATGCCTCCTGATGTCGCCTGAACACCACCTGGACGGCGAGGCGCAAATGCTCCCTGTAAAGGAGCACAATATAATGCTCTGCAAGCAGTTCCTGATCGGGAGCCACAGAAGTGGCCACCCAAGCAGACAGCTGCTTGCAGAGGAGCCCTCGCCTAGGCACGTCAGGAGGCATGTATATGAACTGACGGACGAAGTCCAGAGGTACAACAACAACAACAACAACGGTCTCTCGATGAATGTCGCTCTAATCCCGCCTGCACACCGGCGACGCTAAAGATTTTTTTATATAAATTTGGATCTCGTCTGCTTGTTCATTCTGCGTGCCTGCGTAAAAGCTTAGCATAGAGCAAGGGTCATTTTAAGTGAAGCCCTTGGCAGCAGCAGTCCATCTGCGCGTGTCTCAAATTTCTATAGTGGAACCACTCTTCTAGACTTCCATAAGTCATAAACTATAAGAATAGTCTACTACCTTTGGATAAGAGATTGTCAGCATTAAAATTGCACATTTCATTATAACAAATTACTGTGGAGATTTGTGCTCTCCCGTTAGCTTCCTGAACATTGCCACTGGCAAAACAGAGAGGCGATTTTTGCAGTGTTCTAATCATTCGACCCTTTCACCGCCATGCACCAAAGGATCAAATATCTCGCTTATCTCTTCGCACGCGAAGAGGCACTGTCACCGAATGCTTCAACGCACTCCGTCTGGTTATGCTAACCAAAGCTACACGGCTTTTCCTTGGTATTTTGCAGGTGTCAGTATTGCACCAACAGGGTACTCACGGCGCCCGTAATGCTACAGACCACAGGAGTTCCTAAAGGTACTCCGACACTTTACGAAAACATTCAGTGCTCGATTTAACTTCAGCTCAGCTTCAGACTCAGAGTTTAGGCCTCTTAGTACGAGGCATTATAGCTTTCTTTTTCGAGTTAACAATACTAGGTCGTCTTGCTGGGGTTGAAAGCAAGACCCTGCAAAGTGCACCATTCATCATTCTTAGTCTGAATAGCCCAGTGTCCTTAATAAGTTTTGATGTGAACGAAGTTTCTGTTAATATCAAGTCTACTACCACAAGAAAGTTGAGAGTACCTCGCCCTGAGGGCATTCTCTCCCAATCTCTACCATAGTCCAAAGGCAAGTTTTCTCCCACACATTCAGCAATCTTCTAGATAACATGATGTGTATCTGCCTTATGATTGTATTGCCCACTTCATGCCTCCTGACCGCTGAGCACTTCGAGTGAAAGTTAGGGATATCAAACGCTCCTTCAATCAGCAAATAATGTCATTGTGTACTCACCTACTTCCAGCTCCTAATCGATCTTTGTCAAAAGGTAATATAAAGCTGATTAACATGACTTTCCACTTTGGTAAGAACGTTGGTGAACACTAAGAGGCCCATCCACCAAAATTATTTAATGTAATTTTCGAACATGCACTCCAAACTCCTGAGTATGAAGAATGTCATGCTAATTGGCCTGAAACTTTTTGCTAGCGCATAACCAACTTTCCCCGATTTGAGAATAAAGAACACCCTAATTTTCTCCCAAAGAGTGGGAACGTGGCCAAATGTCAGACCTGTAAGCTTATCTACTCCACACTGTGGCAGTGACTTAAGGCCGTAAAAGGAAGCTAGAGAAATCCTCACTGACTCCGCAGTCATCGCCAGTGAAGCTACATAAATATATCCCAGCCCTAGTGGCTCCCACTTCCAAATCTCTGTCTGCGTTAGGAATTAGCCTGCTTACTCCCGTCAGTGGTGAAATTGCTGGATTGGAAATGATGTTCCCACTTTTTAACTTATACATGCTTCCCGGTTCTGTTACTGATTTCCTCTTTGGCCGCGGATCTACCAGCGGATTTATTAGCACGGTTTTCCGGGAATATGTTCATGAACAATAAATGTAGGATTGTTTTTAGAGCATCCGTAGGAGTAGACTTCACACGACACCAACCACCTCTTCACATGCCAGCTCAATTCCACTCAACTAACACTCTTATCCATTTAATCCGACCCCATCGAGACTGCCCGTTTCTTGGGCCTACTGTTAGTTCAGCTCGGCGACAGCGAGGCTTAGTACTTCCGCTACAACAACAGCAACAACCTCAACGCTACCGTGATGCACAGTGCCGCGAGGCGCTGAACCTTCTCCGTTGGGCCGAAGTATGAGGACTTTTTTCCGTCATTCCATCAAACCAAAGCGTCATACAGAAGAATTTGTCTGACTATTACTGTGTGGCACCGAAGCATTGGGCAAGTGACCCCCAGCATTCTTTTGTATGCATATAGGGACTTGCTGTAAGTTGCAGGAAAAATGTTCCCGTACTCCGAAATCCTCCAAAATCCTGTAAATGAGAGCGACTTTTGGAGAGTTGTGTAGAGAATGAAGTTGCAAGATTTTACCCGAACTTTTTCTTCTGGTAAAATCATGAAAAGTGTCAAGCAATCACTGGTTGACGTTTTTACAGGAAAAATAACATAAAAAAAAACTTTTTAATATACAACGCTTTTATAAATGGACTAAAAAGTAGAAAATAATATTTCTCAGTCCCATAGAATTTGTTTTGATAACTTTTGATTTTGAAATTTTAGCAAAAGTTTAAAAAATTTATGAGATTGAAAATGAAAAGCGTGGGGCGCATGCAATACAAAGCATTATATTTAATTGACAATAGGAAAACTACATAACATAGACCTAAAATTTCTTCAGCGAAAGTACAAATTTGAGATCGATTTTAAGCGGTCGTTATTCATATATCCACATACATATGAACATATATTACCCTTCATATCAATTCAGGTGGCTATTATTATTTTTATTTTATTATTATATTATTTATTTTCTACTTTTTTGTCTTGTCTGTATAAAATTTTTCGATAGATATTAAAATAATTCAACGATATTAATAGAAAGGTGCACACACATGCATTTACATATGTATGTAAAATTTATTTAAAGAAATGGCGTGTCGTCTATTTCCGCTGTAGCGAACGTAGTA